AAAAATATATTTTTTTTTTATATTGTTATTTTGACACTGTGGGGACCATTTTTTCAGTCCCCACAAGGGAAAACTCAATTTTATAAAAGTCCGTGACTGCAATCAAAAAAGAACTAAAGATGCCAAAAGTCCCGTATTTACTTACTTATGGTTAAGGTTAGGGCTGGGTAGGGGTTAAGGTCGTCATTGATGGGATTAGGGTTATGCCCATAGAAATGAATGGACAATCCACAGAAAATATGAGTACAGGTCTGTCTATGTGTGTGTGTGTCTGTGCGTGTGTCTGTGTGTGTGTACATGCGTGCAGCTGTGTGTCCAGCAGCTGGATAGCCTATGGACCGCCATGACTGGGCCCGGTAGATAAAAAGAGATAAGCAGATGGATTACACCATGCACATAATTGCAGCTAAGGCTGTTATCTGAAAAAGCTGCAAACACTGACGAAAATGGATGACCAGAAGGTATCAGGTTTCATCCAATAAGATGTACAGATTAAGAAATAGAAGTAGCCAATTAATTGTTTTTATATTCATGGTTTTAGAGCAAAACGCATGCAGGTGAATAGCCTGCTGCTTTAGCTCCCACTGCGCCCCCAAGCCCCACATCGGGAGTACAGACGTTCACTACTGCTTGACACAGACCAGGCTCAGGAGGACTCAAGATGCCCCCTTCTGGCGTGAGTGCAAAGGGTAGGTCGCTGACTTGGGGGGGCGACAGTCACTGCGAGCATTTACATCGGGACTTGGAGGCAGCAGGAACACACCTCCCCCGCCATCACAGTGTGACTGCCGCTGTCCGTCAGCGTGGTGGCGAACCGAATCGGCGCTCCAGGCCGAGACGGCAGACGGCGGCGCTCAGACCGGGGGTGTCGTCTAAATATGCTAAACTGGTCCAGGAATAGCAGGTCTGCAGAATGCGGCTCATTAAATTCTCGGCAGATCACTGGAGCTCTTTAAATGTCAAATTTACGCGGCAGGAGTCTAATTGCTGTAAGTATCGCCGCTCAGTCTGGAAGTCCGTGAGTCACAAAAGAGGTGTCAGAAAAGTTGCAGTTATTTTTGCCAGCTGTAAATATGCATATATATATTTTTCATTGCGGGCATAAAAGCGGTAGGTGTGACATCTTCCGGAAGTGTGGCACCTTCCCGGAGAAGCTGGCTCGCTTTATGCAAATCCTTACCTGATGACAAAATCGTGGGAGTCGATCTCCTTCCCGCAGCTGCTGTTCAGCAGAATCCCCGAGTTCCCCACTATGGCACAGCGCTGGTAGTGCCGGTTCTTCATGGGTGACGTTGTGGGCAGGAGCGCGTGCAAGTTCTCTGAGACGTTCGTGGTGCTCTGGCGGTCGAAGACGTAGTGGATGACGTCTCCCGGCTTCAAGGTCCCCTTAAGTATGGAGATGTCTCTCTCTGCATCCAGAAACCTCAGGATGTCCTTCCTGAATGTGAAACGCTGTTATTTGTGTCTTAGTGCATATCACATCACCATCCTGGTGCCCTCATTACTTTAACTAAAGCAGGTACAAACCAAAGAACAGCTACCGGCAAACATACCAGAGAAACTACCAGCTGTACAATTTATAAGAACCCAGTGAGGTGGAGCGGCACCCAACAGAGCCATTAATATTTACACTTAATTGATGTTTACATGTTTATCCCTTGGTGTCTATTAATCTGCACCTTTGCATATAATCATCACCGTTGCATATAACATTTTAATATCTAGCTGGGGGTCCTTTATTAGCTATAATTCAATTTACACAGATAGCACATTTCCTGCCACATAAAAGCATGCGAGTCTGCTGTCACGGTATTAGCTGGCAGGCTGCTTGCTGCTTCCGGCAGGTGACAGTGACGGAGCTCTGAGAGGAGTCGTCTACCTGATCTGGTTTGAAAGGGTCCCGCTGAAACGCCAGCCCCTGGACGAGGGCTCGTTAGCGGACCCGGGCGGAGCGGGACTGCTGCTCGGCGGCGATCCAGCTTTCCGTGTGGCATCTGGCTCCGTGGACACAGTCCTGCATCCGGGGGGAGAAGGATCGACACGCAACCAATTAGCTAAGCGGCCGTAATGGCGCCCCCTTTGGACTCCTGTTTCATTAAGTCTTTCTTTTATTGACATTAAGTGTCATTTTCTTGCTATTGAGGTATATAGAAGATAGCAGATACCAATCTGATACAACGATAAAGAACTGGTTAAAGTAAACCTGTCTAGGACAAGTGCTGGCTCCAACATTAGTATATTCAGAGAATATAATTAGCGACGAAAGTTTGCCAAATAATTAGATTGAATGCGCATCATTTGATAGCCTACAGACATTTCCATATCACTGAGGTTTTCTGCGTTTCTATGGAAACTGGATTTCTCCCCCTACCTTAGGTCAAATTACAAAGACATTAATCTGTTTTAAAAGCGAATGGGCAGCAAACGGTGCGGATTGTTCCCCCGTTCGAGTTAGTAGCAAGGGCTGGCATCAGTCCTGGGGAGGGAAGCTCAGAGAGAGTAGCAGGATGGATGATAGACTCACCTGCTGGGGCCCTGAACCCTGTATCTGAGGCTGGGCACCCCTCGCTTGCTCCCTGCACTGTTCCTAAATCAATTAAAGGAAAAATAAAATAAGAAAAACAATAATATTACTATGGCCCTACACTTAGCACATGCTGCATGTGATATCGGGGTAAATATAATACATCTCATAGCACTTTATACCCTGATTATGTAAACGAGCTTCATAATTATATCTCACAAAGAAGGGGTTTGTGTCCCAGTAGCCAGCATGCCACTGCGGGTGGGAAGCTGCAAAATAAATCTTTTAACATTTTTCTTAAATCAACACCGTTTTCTGTTTACAACACTGACCGCATCTCATAGCAAGATAAGCTATTCGCCAAAAGCTCAGATATATCTTATCGCCGTTATGGGTTATGCTCCATTTGTATGCAAATACGGTAAATACGTATCTAAAAGTTAATTACATTTTACAAGTGTTATGAAACACAAAGGGATAAAAGCAGAGTTCGGTAACTTCTCTATTAATATAATTATTCTCTTAGAAAATATGTTATTGTATCATAGCCTAAAACATGATAGAAATGCATAATTTCATTTGAATTCTTATGCAGGAAGCAGATTATGGTCTTTTTCAGTTTATTTTTTATATAGTTTACGTGCACTATACGGACAAAAGTATTGGGACACCTGGCCACTACAC